TCGCCACAGGTGCACACAAAACATCTGTATATACATCAATTTAAAAAGATCATAAAATAAATATAGGAAATAATTTTAGAATGTTCATCTAGGCTCACAATCAACCTAGCAGCTGTAAATATGTAAATAAATAATAGGTTTTGATACCAATTTTAACATGCTCATAAAAGGCAAGTAGAAAGCAATTTATCACAAATATATCGTGACATTATATCCAGAATATACTGAATTATAATGTCACGAACATGTTTTTCAAAGCAGTTCTAAATTGCTTTCACTAAAATTGATTGAATTTATAGTCTATGTAGTTACAAGAACAAATAATGAATGCAGTATCAACATTCGGTTTTTAAAAAAAAAAGTTGTTTAGCGTAAGTTCTTCCAGCTATTCTGGAATTGGAAAGTTTAATCATCTGATATTTTAGCCTCCAGATTTGTGATTAGGGCATTGAAACAAACATGTTATCCTCTTTGCAGTGAGTTCTCATAATCTGCCAGTCTCAAGCGGACTCTGTAGTTACAAGTTGCCACCGAAAGGTGTATCCTGGATGTCTAATCAATTTAAAACCAGTTGTACTGTTACCAAGAAGACGGGTCAAAGCCGCCATACGCTCTTGAGCTTGATATTGCTGCGTCGTCTGGAATAAGAATTTCCAGAAAACAATGTTCTGCAGAGAGTATCTTATACGCGCAGTCCAGTTTGTCCATCTCACTGCATTTGACTAGAATGTCGGCCTGGATTGCGAAGAAAATTCTACCCCCTTCTTCAGTGACATCAACTCTTATCTTCTACAAAATTTGTCACATTTCGATAGAGTTGACACATCAGTCTTGGCTACAACAAAAATCGGGCGTGTTCTATTCAGTGATAAATCCAGATTCCCCTTATAGAATTATTTCCAATCAAATCTGCATCTGGAAAGAATATAGAGCTCACGATCATCCTTCCTACGTAAAAGAAATCTACAGATTCGGTGATAAAGGAATCCTTGTCTTGGGGGGCAAAATGTTGGGAAGTCGTACACTACTCCACGCAGTCACAAATATCCCCAAAACATCTTTGAAATATCTCTTATGCAAAATAACTGGATACAACAGAGATCTCCAAGATATCTAAAATAAATAATCATGAAATATCTGTTAGAAATCCAGAGTTGCAACTCTGTGTGTCCAACAGATATTTGGATATTGCAATATTTACTTTATATCTCAGGCTGACCAGGTGGCCGAGTGGTTAGCGTGCCTGACTGTGGAGCCGATGGTTGCGGATTCGAATCAGGAACCCTACCATGAGCTCCATGGAATGAAATTCCATCTGGGAATGACGTCACGTTCCAACGGGAATTATTTTTCCCCACCACGAACACCTTGGAAAGAGTTTCTTGGCTGGAATTGGAACCGGTATCATTCCAACCAGTCTCCAGCACCTAGAATCGTCGTTCCAAGGAGGGAATGATGAATTTTTAAGGACTTAATACGAAATTTCGTCGATGAATGTCTTAATTTTTTTCTATTTCATAAGAGAAGATAACAAAATTTCTAAAAGATAAACGTGCCCGAGCCATTTTCAAGACGATAATTAAAAGAGAAATGTATTGTTTCATTAGTATGTGTGAACGAAAA